TCCACCTCGATTAGTGCATCCGATAGTTCAGCAACTATCCGGCTTTTTGGCTAATGTACTCTTGAAGATGTTTAAACTATAGCCAGCGTGGCTCGATGGAAGAGCTGGACCTCCTGCCCTCCAAGTCGGAGTTTCCCAGCAGCTTTGACATCACGTGAAAACGATAGCGTGTGTTGGCCGCTGGGACTGAGCTACTTTTAGGGCCTAGTGGACATTTATAGTAACTTATACAATATAATAATGATCATGTGCACATTATTTTTGAGGTTTTAAGTGGAGTTTATATTCATTCAAACTTTATTTAGACAGGTTAATCCCATTGAGCCTCGGGGACTCATTTACAAGCGAGACTTGATTTTAACAAAGACTGATGACAACAGTGGACAACAACGACAATAATAGACAATCATAAAGGATGTGTAAAATTTTTTTACAAGTGAAGATAAAATGATAATTAAAAGGAAAAGTAGTGGAAAAAACAGCCAGATTACGAGGCGGAGTAGAAAACTAAAAACGGGAACATGTACTTTGGTTTTTGCCAGAAACTTAACACTTAAAGAGGTCAAGAGGTCAAGAGGTCAAGGTCAAGAGTTTCTAAAGTTTGAAGCACAGAAAAATGACATAACTGAACCACCATCTGAAATTATGACAACGTTCACTCTCTCGTGGTTTATGCTCTAAGTTTACCATTATGGACCACCACCAGCAGAAGGTTTTCATTTAATCAAAGAAATCAATTTTTCTCTGGACCAAATCATTTAAAAGTGTCGTGAGAAAAGATGAAAGAAAAGTCAAGATGTAGAAATTCAGCAAACCAAATAACTAGAAACACTGCAAGCATGTTGATATTAATCCTAATCTGCTGATATTACACAGAGTGGAAGGATATACAACTACAGAGTTTTAGTTTTAAAACAAAATCTACATTTAGGAACAAAAAAAAAAAGTCCCTGCCTCCTGACTTCATGAAAAAAAGTTGGTTGTCTGAATTAGAATTTAGAATTTAGAAGTTATAATTTAGCAGAATAAAGAAGCACAAACTGCAAGATGAAAAAAACAACTGAATAATGGGAGAAAACTTTTCTTCAGTCGTCTACACCCCCCCCCCCATAATATTTACAATAATAATAATAACAATAATAATATTAATAATAATATTAATAATAATATTAATATAATAATAATAATACACAAATTACAGTAATTAATTAAAACCATAGTACTGTTTTTTTTTTCTTCCGGCTGCTCCCTTCTTCAGGGGTCGGCACAGCGAACCAGCTCACACAAAGACTTGACAATTGTTTTTACACCGGATGTCCTTCCTGATGCACCCACAGACCACTGAGCTACCACAGCTCTCTGTGTGGAGCAGAGAGCTGCCATCTAGGGCGCCCGCGGGAGCAGATGGTGGGGGCTAAGGGCCTTGCTCAAGGGCCCAGAGTGGGGCAAATGAGGGTGGAGGCAAGTGTGGGTGTATCACCTTTTCTACCCACATCTTTATGTTGTTGGTTAAGGAAGTAGAACCGGTGACCTTACAATCACAGGCCCATCTTCTCTAGCCTCTGCGCCACCACTCAAAAAAAAAAAGACAAATGAAAATCTCATCAAAAAGCCTTCAGAAACTAAAATACATTATTCAATGTAGACTTCTACAGAGTAAAACTTGTCATCAGTGTTGGTTTGCACCTCATTGAAAATAATAAAAAGCATAACATGGCATTCATAGACTAAGTAGCGTTCATTAATTAAAAGCATCAGTACCATTTTGGGGCTCCCTAAATCTCGGGGCCCTGGGCTTCTGCCCTGATATAATCTTTGAGAAGTTCGGCCTCGATGGTGACTCAAACCTCGATCAGGATTATTTCTCTTGTTTTGGATTAAAAAACACTCTGACAGTGTGTCAGCTGAGCTTATGATGGAGAAAATAAGACAAAAGACTTTACAAATTATATTTATATTTAAAATGAACTTTTGTTGAAAATCACTTTTTAGCTCCTAACCACTTATGTTAATGTTTTGTTTTATGTCACTGGTAATAGTGGTTGATAGAAATGAACAAATATCGTAATAAAAAAGTTCCTTTCATAAAATGGTCACCAAACCTCAGTGTTTGTGTAAAATATGTATAATCTCTATCACCTGTTTTAGCTGCAAAACTCCTATCACCCCCCCCACACACATACACACACACACACACACACCCCACTCCACTCTCCACCCCCATGATTCTGTGCTTCCTGCTTTAGACTTTGACAAAAAGACAGATTGTTGGGTCTCTCCTGATTCAATCTGGAGGAGGAGAACGCTTCTTCACCGTCAGCATTTCCCACCGCCTGATAACCAGTGAAGGCCTCGCTGGGCGACCTTGGCCGTCGCAGAACTGAACGTCAGTGTTTTTCGCTTTTCTTTTGCAAAGTTACAACTAAAAACAGACTTATTAAATATGAAGCAACAGCTAGTTTTGTTTAGGCTTGTTGAACTGAACGTTCTGTTCTGAGGACACAGACAGGACTGTCTTCCTCCGTCCAAGGATCTACATGGACTACAAAACACAGTTTGGACACACACCAACTACGACCCACCTGAGACAGAACCCGAATTGTTTGCCTGCAAGCAGCAGTGATTTTAAAAGACGTCTGACATTTGTGTTCCTCCAGCGTTCTCATTCTGTGGACGAGAAAAGATAACCTGCAGCGTCGCTGATTTGGACCCAGACCACTGGATCCAGGCCAATGTCTTCACCGAGTCGGACATTTTCCTGCTAAAGGTTATGGTTGCGTATTGTTAAATAATTTAACATTTGTTTGGAGGATTGGTTCTAATCAGATTCACTGTCGTTTTTTTTTTAAATAAATTTCCTATTTTATTTTAATTTAAACCTAATTCCACAGTTAGCTCACCCTTCTCTATCATCTAATTTATCCTTCAAAGAATAACGTGAAATCATATGTTAAATGGTAAAATGGATATTGCACTATACTATATACTTATATAGTATCTGATCAAGATACTCAAAGTGCTTTACACTACAATCTGTGTCCTCATTTACCCATTCATACAGCACTCTACTAGATCTATGAAATGAGGGGTTCATTGTCTTGCCCAGGGACACTTCAACATGTGACTGCTGGTGGCGTCAAACCCTCAACTCTTGCATTGGAGGACGACTGCTCTAACCACTCAGCCATCTGAATATCATTTTTGGGTTATATTCATTCATTCATTCATTCAAGCTTTATTTATACAGATAAATCAAATTGAGCCTCGAAGACTCATTAACAAGTGAGACCTGTTTAGACAAACAAAAAGTGATGAAAACAACAACATGTATAGGATTTGGAGAGAAAAAAAATCCTAACAGACTCTTATTCCTTGGCCGAGGAAAGATAGCCTAAAAAAAATTTAAAAAACACCCCGCACATAAGCACATAGTGACACAGACATTCTGCAGGGGAGGGGAGACTCAATCATCTTTTTGTGCTATGTTACTTGGAATCATTTATCCATAACTTACTTTTTAGAAGTAAACGTAACAAAATATTTTACTATACAGTAGTCCCTCGCTACTTCACAGTTTGACTTTCGCGGAATCGCTCTTTTGCGTTTTTTCAACGTAAGATTGCACACAATACACGACTGTCAACTTTAATATTACTCACGTGATCGGGACGGTACGGGATAAAAAGTTACCGGAAAAAATTACTTCGGACAGGCGCCGCCATTTTGTAGTTTTCTTTCAATATGCCTATACTGTAACGCAGGTCAAAAGAACTACGCTACCCAGAAACCAACAATGCTTCCGGTCGCTGCTTTCTGCTGAAATGTAGGGATTGTTTTGCAACGTAAAGTTAGAAATAGCGATCTATCTATGAAGCTCACAGAACTGGCAGGAAAGTTGCAGATAATCCTGAAGCTCAATTATCCGCACACACATCAGCCTGGTGGGCTTCGTCGCTGCAGGGTAGGTCTGCAGAACCGGAACCAAGCCTGACTGGAACCGAGCTGCTGGTCTGCAGAGCTGGTGAGTACTCATATACATTTTTTCAGTACTGTACAGTACATATATGTATGTTGTTAAAATGACATAGGTTTAAGAGTTTAGAACATTGCAAGAGTGTGGGAAAGGTCTATAAAGACTTAAAATGTATATAAATATTAAAATAAATATAGAGTTCCTACTTCATGGTTTTTCACTTATCGCGGTGGTGTCTGGAACATAACCCCCGCCATAATTGGGGGACTACTATACTTAAATTATATCCTGATGCATGCTCAATAATCCAGGTAGAAAAAAATCTAAAAAAGTTAAGTCAGGGCCTCTGGACTTTTTTTTTTAATGTCCAGAGGACCTGACTTAACTTTTTTAGATATTTATATTATGTTGTCTCAGTTTCTTACATGTGATTTTAGAGCCTCAGTCTCTAGCTGCGCAGAGGTTACCTTCCAATATTCTTATTATTTGTGTTTAAGCTTGTCTTGTTTATTGTTCATAGTCTTTGTTATGATATGGGTTCTCTAATTTTTATTATTTTTCCAAAATGAGCAGCGTAGAAACACAACAACAAGGAACGAAGCCCTCCAGGGCGCAGAAGTGGCTCGAGCAGGAGCATCTTTAGAACGATGTGTGGTTATCAAATTACAGCAGATTAGACTCGTAAACTGAAACAAATCTCGTGTCTCATGTAAATGCGTGGCCGGAAGCATTTGACGACTAACACCTGAGAAAATCAGACATCATAACGCTCCTCGTTCTCCTCCACGTTCAGCTCTCTACGTTCAAAGCGGAGCTTCAAAGACGAAGGACAAGGTTCGTATCGCGCTGTCAGGTGAGCTAAAAGAATAGATTATAGCTGCGGTGACAGGAAGTAGCCAAGAGTTTAATTTTAACTTGGTTACTATGGCGACGGTGGAGTTAAAATGTCACGTAAACTCCATCCGCAAAAGTTTCTTTTCTGCTCACGCAGCCTGCAATGAATAAGCTCTTGCATCTTGTCACTCACCGTTGAAGCTGGTGTTGCGTATGTACTTCAGCAGAGTCTTTCCATCTGCAGACTCCATTTGTGGACAAACGCCAGGATGGTCGGGGCATAAGTCCCTGTGCATGTTGTGCAGCGCGTGGGCCATGGCGTACACCGCGTCAATCACAAACTGCACCTTCCCTTCCTGCTCGTACTTGGAGTCTATCCCGATGCGCTCCTGACCTGAGAGGGAGGGAACAAAATCACTTTTGAGCTATACACATCAGGAACAATTAAACTTCACATTTCCTCAGCTCCAACTCTCATCAGCATCTTCTTAATCCCCCCATCAACCATTTGCTGCTGCTTCTTCAGCTTCAGTTGTGGAGGAATGACTCCTAAAGGGGACAATGCATTAAAGAAAATCACAGGACGCTTTTAATTCTGGGGTATATCAGCTCTCCAGCTGAGCTGTGGGACAGAAGTGTTTGTGACAAAATCAGCAGAGTCAGACTGAATTACTTTGGTGTGCTACAAAGTAATAGGCAGCCAACAATGAACCTCATTTGTCCCATCTGAACAGAGATGAAGATCGCCATGAACTTTAGTTACAGACTCTGCTGCAGCAGCTTCCTGCTTTTATATCCTCCTGCCAGTGCGCTGCCCTTTCAGTAAGAGCTGCTGGAAAGGTTTCGCCAACACACAGTTTGAATACATATTTCTCAACCTCTACTTTTGCTTTCCCTACATGACGAGCTTTCTTCAGGCAGGTAAAAAGCGTGTCTTCAAACGCTTTATTAAAAATGGTCGCAGCTCGAGCGCTTTACGATCGTCATTACTGTCATTGTAATTATCGTATTTAACAGAAAAATGCAATCAGGAGAAAATTGAATCCTAGAAGAGTATTTTCTCCTCGCTGATAGCTGTCCGTGGGAGCTCGGTGATCACGTTAATAAGGAAAACACAGGAATGCGGGGTCCTTTTGTTAACCGAAGGAGCTCAGAAGCAATCTGCTCTGACATTTCAGTTCATTTCTCAAAACTTAACATACGTCTCAGCCCACACGTAACCTTTTTGATTTTCTAAGCCTTGCGCAGGGAGTTCAGTGAACAGTCCTGGAATGCAAAAAGCCATCCTGTCAGTACTTCATGTGCAGATAAATCAGCCTGGTTGGAGGTTAAAAAAGAGACGGCAGAACAGCTTCTGTACAGCCATTTTCAGTGCAATTGAAGAAAAGAAGGGAGTTTTACAGTCATTTTGCAGAGGGGTTTGTAGGACTCAGCAAAGTGGAGGAGCATCTTTTTGTCTTTGACACATGATGAAAGACACTATACAAGCAATTTTAAAGGAAACAAAATCCTTAGGCAAAGAGTCATTTGTGTCACGCTGCCATTGCCATCACCGCGAATGGAAGGAAGATTAATGCAGCGGCCCACATCTCAGCCGTCACTCACGTAGATAATTCATGCAGTGAAATGCCTGTCACGCCGTTGGCAGGCGCAGCTTAGGTAATATGAGGATGCACCACAGCTGCAAACAACACCATCATTAATACAACACAAAGGTGGTGCTGGAGCAGAATGGCTTCATGAATAGATTTTATTCAGATTTATGACAAGTTCTCTTGTAAATGCTCCTTTAAACTAGAGAAATTGCATTTCCTGCGAAAATGCAGTGTGAATGCTTATTGCAGAAGAACTTGCAGCTAAAACCATGCTTAAATGGAGCTCAAATAGATAAACAAGCCTAAAATAGCATAACAAGAACACATATTTGCTGAATCGTGTTAAAATAAGCAGAAATGAGCACAGAAATTAGGAAACTAGCTTAAAAAAACTGAAATTAGCAACAACAACAACAACAAAAATAGCTGAAAAGGGGCTGCAAATGCAGAAAGAGCTTAACTACCATGAGCGGCTAAAGCTGAAATTAGCTTTAAAAATGTGGAATTGGCTGAAAAAGCTGTAAATAGCACAAAAACAGCTAAACAGTAGAAAAAGCTGAAACTAGCAGAAATAAGCTGAAAGGCGCATAACAAGTTGAAATTATCAGAAAGAAGTTAATTAGGCTGATAGTAGAAGAAATTACAATGAAAATCTTAAATTTATCTGAAATCAGCTCAAATTAGCTAAAAAAAAAATGCTAAAAAGGTAGCTGAAAAGGTAGGCCAAGCAAAAAATAGCAGAAGAAAGCAGAAAGAAAACCTTTTCCCAATAAGTCTGAAAAAGCAGAAATTAGAGGGAAAAAACATTGTAAAAGTAGCTAAAAGGCAGAAAGAAGCTTAAATAATGAGAAGGAAGTGGTGAGAGCACATTTTTGCTGAATTAGAATAAAAAAAGTTTAAATGAGTGCAAAAAATGTGGAATTAACTGAAAAAGCTAAAATTATTAAAAACAGCTAGCTGAAATACCAGTAAAAGCTGAAAGCTGCATAAAGCAGCTGAAAGAAGCACAACAAGCTGAAATTAACGAAAGAAGTTAGAAGCACAAAAATGTTGTAGTTAGCAGAATGAGTCTGAAAGGAGTAAAAAAACAGCTGAAAAACAGCTGAAATTAGCTGAAAAAAAGTTTAAATTTTCACAAAGAAGCTGAAAGAAGCTGAACCAACACAAAACGTGAATGGATCAGTAAAATATTGTAAATAATCTAAAGATGTGAAAGATGCTCAATTCATTTTCTATAAGGAAATAAGTGGCAGAAAAGGCCAAATATTTCAAAAGCTAAAGTTGCACCAATACCAAAAGTCATAGCAGGATTGTAAAAAAAAACAAAAAAAAAACGTAAAGAAGAATAATGGATCACAATAGTGTGAAAGCTTCATAAACATTCACACAATAAAGCTGCTTGCTGTCAAGGTGGCATAGTTAAGGTAGCATACTAGGAATGTAAGAGTTGCAGGATGTTAGCCTTGGGAACAGATGGTCTGTTACTGTAGTGTGACTAAAGGATGTGGTGTGCGTTAATTATTCTAATAGTACAATTTATCTGACCAGAAGCTGCAGGGTAAAAACACCTGGTGTTAGACACAGACGAGCAGGGCCGAATCAAACCCCATCAGGCTACGGTGCCTGCAGCTTTTAATAAGCAGTTTAATCATCATCTTTCTAGTGTAAGGCAGGACACATTTCCCTAATTGTTTCATGATTTAAAACTCATGTACCTGTGCATTTGCGGCTGGTGTCCTCTCGCTTTGAAGCACTGAGCAGCCTGCAGTCAAAGTTTTCCTCCCAAAACTCTGCAAACCACACGTTCCTGCGATTGTTCTCCAGGGTGAGTGCAGTAAAATATTCATCAAATCCTGAGGAAAGAGGGGGGGAAAGGAGAATGGCTCAGCTCTGGACCAATTATCAACCCACTGTGACCTGCAGGAAATGAAACAGAAGTTGTGCAGCAGCAGCAGCTTGGCTGCGGCAGTAGCAGTTGTGTGCTGCTGGGTGTTGGAAGCACACCAACAAACACTGCTTCATCAAAATCTGACCCAAGTGGAGTCTCTTCCTCTGAAGCTCCGTGGAACTTTAATCACCTCTTTCATGTAGGAAATTGCATTAATTAAAAACAGGATGCATTATAAATAACGCAGGCTGTCTAAGTGGCGCCACAGCCTGTTGCCCGAGGCGGCGAGGTGCTGAAGGTGCTGAACAGGTTCTCTCCACTCTACAACAGACGGGCTGAAGGCATCAGTTTTTAGTGTGATGGGCTTTTAAAGAGGAGATTGGTATTCAAGCATCAGCTTGATTTCAAACAACAAATAGGAAAAAATAGGCCTTTATGGAGTGTTTTGTGTGTGGATTTTTACAGGCGAATGTGGGTCAGCAGACTGTGCGGGGCTGAAGCGACACAGTTGTTGCTTGTTGTGCTGTTTTTTATTTCTTTGTTTGACTTTTCTTGCTGAAGTCACATTTTTTTCCAGTGAGGACTTTTATCTCCATTTCACTTTTTTAACGCCGTTGTACTTTTTGTTATCCAGTCTCATCAGCTGGGTAAAGGTAATAAAGGCTAATTGCAGCTGAATGACTCAGCTGCTCCTCATTTCAGTCGACCATCAATGCATCGAGGATAAATAATGTTCTCTTTTCCCCTCTACAGTGTGCATTTCTCCCGGCTAGACCTGCCCTAATTAACGAATGCTTCATAAAAACCAGACCTCCATTTATAATGATGAGTGTTTCTATGGACCGTGACACAGATCAGAACTTAAAATAGTCTGGGAACGTTCCATTTCTCTGCTGAATTCTGCACGTCCTAGCTAACGCAAATGCCTAATAGCCTCATCTCTGCTTCCTTTTTCTGGAGGGTAGAACGTTTAGTGCACTTTATTTAAAAAAAAAAAAAGGCATTTTGTAATGGCATTTGTTTCAGAGATTAATTCAAAATATTGTAAAGTGGTCATAAAAACTAATAAAATTACAATAATACTCTGGTGTGAGGCATTTTCATTAGACAAAGTTCAGCAAGGACCTGACGACTTTTGACTTTTTAGGCAGAAAGAGCCTGGTTTGTCCAAACAATGTGCGTCCTTTGATTTCAGTGTTTGATTCACAAAGACACGACGGGCAGACGGACGGACAAACAGACGGATGGACAGACAGATGGACGGAAAGAGAGAGAGAGAGATACAGCCAGACAAACAGAGAGAGATAAATGGAGGGATGAATGGACAGACGGATGGATGGACAGACAGAGAGACAGAAGGACAGACAGACAGAGATAGATGGAGGAACGAATGGACGAATGGACAAATGGATGGACGGGTGGATGGACAGACAGACGGACAGACGGGTGGACGGACAGAGAGACAGACAGACAGACAGACGTATAGATAGATGGAGGGACGAATGATGAATGGACAGACAGACGGAAAAACAGAGAGACAGACGGACAGGCAGACAGACGAATAGATAGATGGAAGGACGAATGATGAATGGACAGACGGGTGGACAGACAAAGAGACAGACGGACAGAGAGAAAGACGAATAGATAGATGGAGGGATGAATAATGAATGGACAGACTGACGGATGGGCAAATGGACGGACGAACGGACGGTCAGAGAAACAGACAGATGGACGGACAGACGGACAGACGGACAGACAGACAGACAGACAGACAGACAGACAGACAGACAGACAGACAGACAGATAGATGATAGATGATAGATAGATAGATAGATAGATAGATAGATAGATAGATAGATAGATCGT